ACACACACACACACAATGTACTTCCTACTATTTACTTTTCCTCCTTGGATCATACGTCGCGGCACGCTGTTAACACTGTTACGCAGCTGAATGAACCAAATGTAAACTCTGGTGTTCTGTCAGTTTCCAAGTCTTAAGACACTCATTACACTGACTAGATAAGAAGTCAAATTAAACTCAGCTGGAACCAAATATGCCCTGAGCCTCGGTCGTCCAGGCTAAAATACACAGGAGGGTGTCACTGGAAATGTTACTTTACTGTTACTTTTTTTTTGTTGTTTTTTTGGTTTTTTGTCTTGTCATGGTGGAAGGACCTGCTTTAGTGCATCTCGAGTGGTTTGGCCCAGTTTGTCAGGAAATCTGACTGTAAAGTCCAAGATCATGTCGCCCCTCTTCTCAGGGTACTTGGACAGAGGGAGCCCTTCCCCAACAATACGCTTTTTCATTCCAGGTTTGACAACATCTCTGGAAGTCACAGTGATGGTCCGGCCGTCCAGCGTCGGGGCGTTGACTGTGCATCCGCACAACGCCTTGAGAGGGGATGGAAAACAAGGTAATTAGACAGATACAGCTACTCGTGTTTGGAACATTTTTGTCGGCATTCACTTACGTCTCTGAGAGAGATTTTCGCAGGATAAATGATATCCGAGCCTTCTCTTCTGAACACCGGGTGGGGTTTATCTTTAACTACAAACACCACATCTGCAGGAATGTTGGTGGGAGTTTCGTCTCCCTCCTTCGGAAAGGTGATTTTTGTCCCCTCCTTCCAGCCGCGCTTGATGTCGACTGTTAAGATCTTGTCTTCGTTACGCATGGTGCAACCGTCGGGGTTCAGTCTCTTGCGGGAGATCTTCATCTTTTTGGTGCAGCCTGAGAAGACCTCCTCGAGGCTCACCTTCAGCTCGTGCACCACGGGCGGGTCCTTCTTTCTCTGGTGGGCCCTGTGAGGGCCTCCTGGGCGGGATTTAAAGGACCTTTGAAAGCCACCCATGCCGCCCATTCTTCCCATGCCAAATGCTCCAAAGGGGTCATTGATGTCCATGTTGTCATCCCCGTTTTGTGAGAAGAAATCATCGAAAGGGCTGCGGCCACCGAAGAACTCTGCGAACATTGCGTGAGGGTCTCCATGGAAGGTGTAGTTGTAGCTTTGACCGCTGTGTCCTCCGCCTCCGCCGCCGGCCGAACCCTTTAACCCTAAAGAGGAAGAGGCAAACATCAGCACGGAAGGAAATAGACCTCACATTATATACAAGCACGGCCGATATTACTGCGAGCTCATTATCACACATCAGTGTCGGCTAATATGTAACCAGAAATTACGTTTCAGAAGTGTGTCCCCAATTCTCTAAGAACCAAATGTAATGTTAAAGATTCTCAACACACACAAAAACTTTTTAAAACTATGTTTAGTATAAATATGAATTGGTATCTGGTTAAAAAATCCAGTATCGGTTGGGCTTTAGTAAGAAATAACCAAAATATCTGAAAAGAGAAACATGATAGCCAATTTCAAGTAAAAATAGCAAAATATGCTAACTTGTGTGTAGTTTCTCTAGTAAACCAAAATGAATTGAGCAGTGATGATGAAAATATTCATTGGTTGCAGGACAAGTAATGATCAATAGTTTGTGTTTTCATTTAGTTTAAAGTGTTTTTTTATTGCATCAAACTACAACAAGTAGTCCATGAACTGATTAGTTGTAACTGTAAAATGAATTTACAACTATTTTAATAATCAATGAATTGTTTAGAGTAGTTTATTAAGGTGTAGGGATGCACATATGTCGGCCTATCAGCAACAAAGGTGGCATTCACCCACATCAGTGGCCAATATTAGTTGTGTCACATCAGTTTTGCACTGGCTGAATGTTGTGTTGGTCCCAGCTCGGATATTGGACTAATACCGATGTGCGTCTTATTATTATCTTGGACAAGAAGAGAAACAGACTGAGCTGCAACAAGGCAGAGATGCTTATCTTCGTAGATTTCTCTGTTTCCCTGGTACAAAAGCAAAAAATAACAACAAAAAAACATCTGTTTAACTAACAGCTATTGGATAAAGTGGTGTATCCCTAAAAAAAACAAACCTAATTCTCTGATTTCAGCTGAATATTCAGTGCATTTTACAACTAGTGGAGCCATAATTATCACTGCAGTGACAGAGTGACAGGACAGGCAAGAACTCGCAGTTTCCAGCAAGTTCTCCAGCTAACCCTATTGTAGTACACACACACACACACCCCTTCACTGGGAGCCTACTGGTGCAGAAAGACAACAGCAAATGACCGATTGGGAGGATGCATTAAAGTATCAAACAGATCTAACATAAAGTAGTAACTGCACGGTTTGCTGAAGGTTAAAGCAAACAGCGCAAGTGGAAAACAGCACAAACAACACGCAAGTTGCGGGGGAAGAGGAGTTCAGTTACCTTCCTCTCCAAAGCGATCGTAAATGTCCTTTTTCTTGGCATCGCTGAGGACATCATAGGCTTCTGCGATCTCTTTGAATTTATCTTCTGCTCCGGGAGACTTGTTTTTGTCGGGATGAAAGCGCAGGGCCTGTTTTCTGTACGCCTTTTTTATCTCATCTTCGGATGCTCCCTTGGCTACTCCGAGCACTTTGTAGTAATCTTTACCCATTACAACAACCGGTCAGTTCCTCTTCCACTTCATTAAAACACCGTCAACGCAGACGCTTCAGTTTTAAGTGCACAAAAACACCTCCAGCATGTCCAGTGTGAGTGTGAACCAGCTCGGTGGACGGACTGCTGCTCCGCCGCCGCCGCAGCTGTCACTGCCGATGCGGACAATTAGCCGAGATAGCTAACTGTCAAGGTTAGCTTCCCCTCCTTTGGATAAGTTTCCACTCTTCACTCAGAGGAGGAGAAAAGATGTGACTTCGCTCAACCCCCCGCCAACATAAAACACCGTGTTCACGCAGGAGTGTCCGTGTGCCGCCGCCGAGTCTCGAACCGCGGACGGAAACTTCTGGAAGAAGCCGCTGCTGCTGATGTGTGTCATCGCCAAAGGGTCGAGAGGACTACCTCCCTGCGACTTCCGGTTTCGTTTGAACCGCTTTAAACGTTAAGAAGTGGTCAGATGTCGCCTGTGGATTAAACACAGTGAAACACACACACTTAGCAGCAGCGCACGTGAGTGACATTGGTATTGTTTGGATAAATATTTGGATAAAAATGTAGATAAATGGTTGCATCCGCCCTTTTAGTGATGTTTTAATTTGAGTACGCATGCGCAGAGGCTTTTTGGGGGCCTGGGGCTTCACTTTACATACTGTAGGCTGAAATCAGTAATAGATTTATTGGCTACTTTACACTTTATGTCCCTCATATGGTTACAGACGAATGAACTTGATTGGCTGATTTATAAGATGAGAATGAGTACCTACAATCACAATCAACTTTATTTGCCCAGTAAGCTCAGTTGCCAGTTTATTATGTAGCCTACACTTAGCTAAAATGATTGCATTCCAACACTAGCCCATAAATCTTATCTTCATGAAGGCTATATTGTTATTCAGTCAAAATATTATAAAACACCTCTGGTAAGTGTGTGTATGTTGACTCACTATATACTATACTACACTGGAAGAAATATAGATAAACATAAACTTATAGCTGTTATGTTCAAGCAAGTGGGCATGGAAATAGATCAGATTAGGTTATATACTGGGCAACAACAATGGACAAGTATGTGCTGTCTATACAAGACAGTGAACTGCATATAAAGGGTTGTGATATGGTTTGTGCTGTATATACAAATAATGCAAGAATGTCTGGCAGTTATGCTGAAATAATAATCTGTATTAGCCAATAAAAGACAATTTGTAGGTTCAGTGAGGTGGTATTCTGTGTTACTGCACAGGATAGGTGGAAGTCTGTGTTGGTTTGTGGAAGGAAACTGTTCTTGTGTCTAGTGGTTCACTGGTTGTACTGGTTGTAAAGTGCTCTGTAGCTCCCACTAGAGGGGACAAGTTGACATTAGTTATGTACAGAATGTGAAGGTTCTGCAATGATTTTCCCACGCAGCCTGTTTCCTGGGTCAGGATGGGCGTAAGTGCTGGAGGATAGGCAGGTTAACATGAATCATCTTGTCTTGAATCAGACCTGCAGACTGCATGTATTAAACTGAAAGCTTTCTGACACAGGTTCAACAAAAAAAACAAAAAGCACCACAGATCTTATTGCATGCCACACATACTTATGGAAGATAACACATTTACAAACATCTATCCAAAATTTCTGAATTAGATATATCTCTTCTTTTAATGTCCCATCTCCTTAGGAGTGAGGGGTTATTTTGAAGACTCTTCAGATAACTCAAATAAATTGTGAATGTGCCAGAAGAAGAGAGTTTGAATGAATGTTCCTCTAACCACGACACTCTGAAGATCAGCGATCCCATGGAGTCCCATGTTACAGCATTCCTCCTATGTCATATAGTGTTACCGCCTTTAAAGAAGAAGTAGGTCCACTTCAGCATATATGTGAGAATAGGTTTTTCCCATTTTATTGCTGTCTTTTTGATCATCAGTGTAAACAAGGATTAGGTTTAGCACAGGGATTTTTCTAACAGAAGATTTAAAAAGGATCATGGAATACAAATAGTGATCACCACTGCTTGCTGTTGGCACGGACTGCTCCTGCTGGTTATAAATAGACCGCAGAGTATAGATATGCAGTTGGCTATGTGCGATGATGAGTTGACCCTGTGCGACGAAAGGCATCTTTGATCTTCTCCCAATCAGCATTTTCTTCACCCTCCTCCCACCACAAACCTCCCTGAAGTATTTTAGAAACGATGTTGTCCATTTAGCACACAAACCTTGAACCACATGGGCCCTGAAATAAACATGTTTGCCTTTGTTCTGGAGGTCAGAAAGAGAAAAGAATACCAGCCACACAGGTGGTCTGGGGGAGGGGGATTTTTTGGCATGTGGAGGTCCTTCATCCCATGGATCAGACTTTTATTGGGGGCCGTCACTGTGTGACCAAGCAAGGAGCAGAGCAGACATGAGATGTGTCTTATAGGTCTAATGAGAGCACATTGGCATTTGTCACTGAGTAGGGCTGTATGTGGCTTCCCAAGGTTACCAAGCTCGTGCAGAGCAAATCAGGCGACTTATATTTAGCCTTGCAAATGGCGCACTGTGGATTATGTCTTGGGGCTCTCCGGTTTCGTCTTCAGTGCGTTTTGTTGCATGAAGGGGGGTTGTGGATCATGAAGAGGCTGGTATTCAGGTGAGGAGCAGGTTCACTTCATGTTCTTAGGCCAGCTCTCCTTCCACTGCTCCTCATTTTCTTTATTGCTCGTTGCCTCCACTCTCCTGCACACATACACTTCATCTGGGGGGGAAAAAGTGTTTATGGTCTCACATATTTCCGTCACTCTTCTTCTGGAGGTGGTGGGCTATTCGGAGAGTCCAAAAGACACCAAAGACGACACCCTTGAGTTGGACTGACAGTTGTGTGGAGGCAGAGCAGGGGGCTGCTTCCCATACCAGCAGAGGACAGCCAGCGTCACTGGACATATCACAGACTATTTCACTACTAGGCCACTGAGGTTTGGGATCAAACAGTATCATCATGGATGTACTTGCCTTAGAGGCAAAGAGTGTAAATGGAGCTGATTCTGAGAAGAAGTCTGCGCCGAGGCCAAAACCAAAACCTCCCAAAAAGGCCAAAAGGATTGTTTACTTTGAGGTGGAGATCGTGGACTTAAAGACTAAAGAGAAACTGCTGCTGCTCGACAAGGTGAGTGTGTGTGTTGAATGGAGGGTTTCTAATTACACTCACCTTTTATATTCAACATAATGGTTTTAGAAAACTGATAATACTTCCCCAACTGATGCATGATTCATTCTGATCTGATCACAAATATTTCAGTCCTAGAAAAGACACAAAGATTGCTTGAGAACTTGTAGCATGCCATCGATGTTACGCTCAGTTACTAAAGTTGAACACCTCCCAGTTCATTCCTTTAAAGGTTCATGACGTCTTATGTCTGTTGTAATAGTAGCATACGCAGAGACTGGGATTACTTTGCAGTGAAGTCAGAGGAAACATGTTTGTTCTAGCTCAAGAACTACACGGTCATCACTGTGAGCAGACGCGTAATATTACAGGTGATCATCTACTTCACAGGCAGCCCGATCGAGTGCAGCCATTATCAGTTACGTTTCTATTGAGCAAGGGTTGCAGTTAGGAGGTGACAACTCCCTCTTCATCTGCCAGGATTTTTTCTGGTTCAGCTATAGTACAGGCCCGTGCTGCGCTGGGCCAACAACAGATGCGCATAATTGGCAGCTTGTATAAATGTGAAGAGTTTTGTCAAAAAACAGGAGGGATCACATTGCAGATGAAAAGGGCAAAATGCAAGTCTGACAAATTCCAAAAGCAATGAACACTTAAGTAACTGCAGTAAAGGCAGCAATACAGATGACTTCTGCTTTGTATTTTTAGCACGCAATGTCTTGTAAATTGATTTGTAAATGTCAGTATGTTAGTCTGCACACTCATGGTGCTGATAATATTACTACCCTAACATTGTTTCTTTTTTTTTTTGATTGTAGGTGGAGCCAACTGCCACTGTTTTGGATATTAAAGCTTTGTTTCACAAATCATGTGAGTAAGTTTAAGACAAAATTTTAATTTTGAATTTGTTTGTATCCTAGTTTTTAATAAATGAGACATGCCAAGAATAAAGTTCCTCTCCATTTCAACAGATCCAAAGTGGTATCCAGCCAGACAGTCCCTGCGTTTGGATCCAAGTGCGTCTGCTTTTCACAATAAATTCTGCTGTTTATAGGTGTTCTAAGTTGTGTGATGTTGTGTGGTCTTATCTGGACTAATGGCTGTGGGTGGTCATGTTTCTCAGAGGCCAAATGTCTCAGGGATGAGGAAGTACTCCAGACACTTCCCGTGGGAACCACAGCCAGCTTTTACTTCAGTGACCTAGGACCCCAGCTCACATGGGGAACCGTGAGTCCACACATACACAGACACACAGTATTTAGGACCATAAAGTGGTGTTGCATGTTTTACTAATTAATGACATAAGCCATGCATGCTTTAATTATAAGCTGTTTTCCAAATTATATTATACAACTTAAAATAATTCCTATAATAACAATCAACTTGCCAAGTTTCGCATGTGGTAATCTGCCTGTTGTTGATTTCAAGGATGCTCCAGCGTGCAAGATCTGATCCTCTGAGCAGCACCCGCTTTAGTGCCACAAATGATTAAATTCACATGGTCCGTTTAAAGTCCAAGTTTGCATCCCTGCCTTCTGGATATGATTCAGCTACCACAACCTGTAGCTCCTGGATGCAATTCTTTTCATCAGCTGACTATCAGGCTTGCTCTGCAAAATAGCCTGCAAAGCACACGCTATTTGTACTTAATAAACTGAAACACGCAAAACCTTTGGTATGGTCTTTTAAGATTCTTACTTTACTTTATAAACACTCTCTCACCCACTCAATAACTTTGGAATATAAATATCAACCCACAGTGACACATCGAGGCGATTTGCTGCGGTTCGTTTTTCTCTCTACCTCTGCAACGCCTGTCCTCTGTCCTAGGACATATAATCTCACTGCCCCATTTCTTCCAAAGGTGTTTATCCCCCTGACCTCTCGCTTGCTTTTCACTGCCCCCCTTGTTCACCCTTGCCCACCCACTCTCTGCATTCCCTGTCCTTACCAACCCTGGCAGAACCCCCAGCTCTCTGCCAGACTAATGTCACAGTGGGTGGAGGTGCATGAAGTGCCCCAGCAGAGATCACCAGTAGCTATCAGTCACACATGCTGAGCCAGGGCTCTGCTCGAGGTGCTGATTCAGGGATCGATTTCACTGTCAGCTGTGCTGCTTCGCTTGATCATATCAGTTGTGAAAAGCTGGTATTACAAGCTGTCTTAGTGTCTCATTTGCTCCATGGGCACATGTTGAATACTATTATTGTTATAGTGAATGGTTGTCAGTGCTGAGGAGTAGATGGAGTAGAGGAGTAGATGGAGTGTTTTTACTTTAAGATGGCTGTGACAAGTGGGTTCTCAGAGTGCCATACTGGTGTCGGTTGCATGTTTTCCCTTTGGCAGAGGGTTTAACTGACATGTAGAAAATATTTGAATTTCATTGGTTAGTGTATTTACTATTAAAGAAGTTAATTGTTCAAGTTGTTGGTAATACTGTTCATGGATTGCTTCATGACTGCTGTGTTTTGTGCTGCTTTCTTCTCATGCATCTGGCTACAAATCAAGAAAAACAAAACGTAAACTATTTCTGTCTTTTCTTCGCTCACTTCAGGTGTTCCTGTCAGAATGTGTTGGTCCGCTGGTCATCTACTTAATGTTCTACTTCCGCCTTCCCTTTATCTACTCCCCGAAATATGATTTCACCACCAGCAAGCACTGGATCGTACAGTGAGTGCCAGCTCGCCTGTGTTTTGGGGGATTTGTTGCGATCAGGGTTAAGAATTACCAATAACTAATTACCTGTGAAAAATGTTAGTCACTAAACCTGAAATCCCAAGTATCACAATATTGAAGTAACGTAACTTGATTATTTTGGATTACCTCAACGCCAAATATGTAAATAAAGACCAGAGAAAAGAAATATCAATAAGATGACGATGCATTCTACAAGACAACAGAACAATGTAACCAAAAGAAAACGAAGAAACCCAGATATCTAGCATCAACAATGTGTAAAGAAAAACTTGCTTTTTATTAAGTAAATTCAGGCAGTAGCCTATAGAGCACATCGGAAAGGCAGAACTTGCACTGTACTGATGACTGCTAATAATCCCCATTTTTACTACATGTAACTGTAATCTGATTATGTCATTTTGTCTTTGACTAATTACAGTTACCTTTTTTTTGGATCCTGATTGTAAAACTCTGTGACATGTAATCCATTACTCCCTGAGCCTGGTTGCGATGTTGCAGAGGTGTATCACACAATCCCAGGCGTTGCACAGATGACCCCTCAAAATAACAACCACTCATGAAGTATATTGCTATGGTGACACTGAATCAGGGCCAAGTGTTATGGAGTGCAGCACGACAATGTATTAATCACAGTTCAGTATGTTAAGTGTGTGTGTGCGTGTGTGTGTGTGTGTGTGTGTGTGTGTGTGTCCTGTTACAGGGCTTGGCCTGCATGTGTCACTCCTTTCCATTACAATCAGAGGATTCTGGAAACAATGTTTGTGCACCGTATCTCCCATGGGACCATGCCTCTCAGAAACATATTTAAGGTGAGTGAGCTGCATCATTTTGACCTTTGGACGTGACATACAGTGTATTATTTCTCTGTTCTCAGAAATCTGGACCAAATCTATGTGGTGCTTTATCTTGACACTTTGACTTATTATAGTTGTTCCTACTATTCCAGAACTGTGGCTATTACTGGTGCACTGCAGCTTGGATGGCGTACTACATTAACCACCCTCTCTACACCCCACCCTGTAAGTGCAGACCTCTACAATTCTCACTTTAACTCATCAGTAGAAGCTGACTTCCTTCTTAATCCATTTTTCTGTGACACACTGACAGATTACGGGCAGCAGCAGGTGAATACAGGACTTTACATTTTCTTGGTAAGTATGAGATTTGTTTGAGTTTTATATTTCTGGCTCACTAAAGGTCTTCCAGGTATTAAACCTAATGATCTATTGTTATGTAGATGATCCTCTTTGGATGTCTTTATGCCCACAGTTCTGTCAAGTAGGAAATTTTTCCATCCATGTGGCTCTTCGTAACCTCAAACTACCAGGTATGCATTTTGGTAAACAATGCATATACTGTTCACATGAGTGTTGTTGTTTTTTTAAGCAGCTATCAGCTATGTTTACCCATCATCTCTCAGGTTCAAAAACCAAGAAGATTCCTTACCCAACAAGAAATCCCTTCACATGGATTTTTTGGCTGGTCTCTTGTCCGAACTACACATATGAGGTAAGCAAATGCAAATAAATTCAATCTTACATCATTTATTAAAGAAAACTAAGCATAATCATTTGTGAAATGGGTTCCTATGAAAGAAATCCATGGTGATGTAGGAAAAAATTACTTCAAAGTCAGTTTAGTCAGCTGGTCAGTGTATTAGTTTGATTAATATTTGAAGAATCTGTATGTCAGTTTGGTTATTAGCTGTGTTTTGCAGCGAGTAATGTTCCACATTTCAACCCTGAAATACTGACATCCACTGTTGTGTGTGTGTGCAACCCAGTAGCAATAGTACACAGTACTTTACCCTTGCAATATATGATGCACTATTACTGCCATCTACTGGTTGAGTCCTACACATGTGCCATACATCTCAATGCCCTGTGTGTGTGTGTGTGTGTGTGTGTGTGTGTAAACTTCTTGCTTACAGGTGGGCTCCTGGATCGGCTTCACAGTGATGACCCAGTGTGTGCCTGTGGCTTTCTTCACTCTCGTGGCCTTCATCCAGATGACTGTGTGGGCCAAAGGAAAACACCGCGGCTACTTAAAGGAGTTCAGAGATTATCCGACCCTGCGCTCCTCCATACTCCCCTTCATCCTGTAGAGCCTGGCAGAGAAGACCACATGCTCACATGCATCCACACCCTCACTGATTGGGTCCTATTTTAAGGGCTTCTGCATCCACTGGATGTCAGAAAGCGTGTGCTGAGGTTAACAGCAAAGATGGATTTTGGTCATATGGACTCCATGTAACTTTTTCTTACATGTCATGTCAGTAACAAGGAGTGGCAGTCACAGTTCCTCTGAGTTTGGACTGGTGAATGCAGGACTGTTACAGGCAAAGAGTTAAATGCAGCAAAGTCTTAATTTAATGTTGTATGTGGGCTTGAAGATCAAGAGGATTCGATTTTTTTTGCTACTTTGGTAAGTAACATGATTGAGAGTGCTGTTAAGTTTTTAAAAGAAATCACATTATTTTCTTAGCTTTTGGGACATTTCTTAGCTTTTGGCAACCTGATCAGTGAAGTTTCCCACAAAGCTGGGAAACAAAGAGGCTAATCTGCATTGTCAAACTGGTGTGCAGCCTGGAGCTGACAACTTTGTGGCCTCGTGCAGTATTCTACTGATCCAAGTGACCTCGGTACTTGGTACCGAGACACTATGGTAGTCCTAGCTCTATCTGGATTAGAAATTGTATGCTGATTGGGGGGAAATCTTTTCTTTTTGTCTGTACATGGATAGTAAGTATTTTTGTGGTTAGGAAAAATAATTGAGAGGAAAAACACTGCTGACGGCATGCACAGACATGTCCTACAAAAGTAGACTTATTGCTTACACAAGATAATTATATAGCAGTGCAAATGTGTTCAATCTAAAAAGCAAAACGACCAAGTTTCAGACATCAAATCATCATCAGTGAACTGTGTATCTAGTATAAGGTTTCTTTGCATTGTCAGCATTGTGTGGATCTTTTCCCACTCAATTATGTTTGTGCTAATCTGAAGAGTTGTGCAGATGTAAACATGGACTGAAACTCGGTCTGATGGTTCTTTCCAAGATTGGATAGGGAGTTTATTCTCTGCTATTCCATTTTCACTGAATGTGCATTTCACAGAACGCTGCATCGACTGAACCTTCAGATTGAATGAGGAACTTTGATTTGATTTTTAATGTCCTGCTGTCATTTTTGAGGAGAACATTTGGTGTGGAGTAGGGTTTTTATGTGAAGTGGAAAGTTTGTTTACAATATTTGATTGAGACTGAAAAGGGTTATCACTTGTCCTCACACAAGGTGATGCTGACCCTTTGAAACCATTGTTTTATGGTGAATAACTGATACGAGTGTAATAAACTATCACAAAACAAGTGACTGAACAGAGAGACACGAGCTTTATTTGTGACTCTGGAAGAAATGTCAATGTTACAGATAAAAAGGGGAGGAGATACACTGGAGATGAAGACTACATTATGGAATGTCACAAAGAGGCTGACTTGGATCACACTGGACAAATTATAAATGGATGATAACAAAATATTGCATTTGATCAACATATCTGCTCTGTAAACAGACACTGAGCAGCTGTATTCAATTTAAAACAATATATTCAGTATTACAATATCATTTTCCCAAGTTTATTACTTTTTTTTTGCTTATGTATGAAAGCAAATTCCATTAGGCTGCATATTTCCTGGTCACATATCTGAAATTGTTCCCCAAAATGCATTGTATTAAGTTGGACCACAGTCAGACCTAAATAAGAAGAAGAAAAAAAACACACACACACAGAACATATTGCCTTGCCAGCAGGTAGTAGTATATCTTATTGGTTGTATCTCAGTGTTACAGACTGAAGACATAATCCAACATCAGCAGCTATTGTTGGCATGATAAGTCAGGAATCGGACTCTGGTAACTTTTGATGCAGATATGTAGATAGTCTGACTGCCCCAGCACTTTGATGACATTTAATTCAACTCATCATACGAGAAAAGGAAAAAGCACAACAGATGTGCATCACGTTTAACTGTGTTGACGTACAAACACTTTCTGGACAAACAAGGTACCGTAATACAACAGGGAGAATGCAGGGATACATTTTGGGATACATTTTTCTTGTGCATCCAAAAAACGGTGACAAAACTTTGCTCACAGCACAGTGATGTCTCTGTAGTACATTAGCCCATAGGTGGTCCACTTGGTGCAAGGACTCAGTCCCCTTCAATGGCTGCATTGTCCATCTCTTACTCCTGCAGAAAGTTCATTGCTCCTCCACTTGAAAACATACTCTGAACGTAGCAGTCGAATGTAGTATTTCCTTGATAATGCAATCGAACAGCCACATGGGTGAAATGAAAACCATTTGAAAACCAAAGACCATAATGAGAGGTAGGATGACTGTCTTTCAGTTTCTGGTCATTCTCACAGTGAAAGTTTATTCCACCGCAGCCTCCCCCCCAGACTCACCCTCTATATATTCTGTATATGAAGGTGGGAGGCAGGGTCCAGATGGGAGAGGGCACTGCATGCACGTTTGGGTCAGTGCAGCATCGTCTGTCTGTCAGGTGACTCCACACTTCAGAGGTCTTCGTATTCCAGGAAGTGGGTCCTCTGCAGCACCTTTACATGCCGCTCATAGATTTTGAGGGCAGGGCCGAGTCGGATAGACAAACCAGTCAACACGTCACTGCGCTGCATTAGGAGAAGGGACTTCCCATCAATTTCCTGTTGGGGAGTGACACAATACTTTGCTAAGTTAGTCACCCATAGGGTTCTGAAGGAATGCTCTGAATGCTTAATATCTTTGAATGTAACAAACGTCATTTTTAAATGCCCCCCAGGACACAGTGTAGACTGTTTAATTAGCTTTTGAAACTCCTGAAATCGTGAAAAAATAACAGCTTTGTTTTAGAAAGTCTGGGATTTTTCCTAGCAGCTTTTACCACGCAGCCTGATGCACACACATAAAAAGATACTGGTCCCAGCATACAGTGCTTTTGGATCGTGCAACTCACTTTACTTTAACTATCTCTAAAAATGGCACTGGGTGATGAAATATGTGTGGATTCCAGTGGAGGTAATAGTGTATGTAGTGCCCCTCTGTGGCAGTTATGTGTTGGTGCACTGACCTGTGTTCGAAAAGCCACAGCCTGCTCTGGAAAGCCTGCAGCTGAGAAATAACTGGCCACATCTGCCACAGTCCACTGCAACAAGTTCTGGCTCATCTTCTCCTTCTTCACAGCACTGGAAGAAGATGAGAAAGAGTCAGAGAGGGGAACATGATCTTGGTAATTTGCTAAAATTTCTTTCTAGTGGAGAATACTCACACGTCATCACCTTTACCACCATTCAGAAGACTGTCTTCAGCTGCTGTGAAGGAGGATATATCTATCTTATTCTTAAATGTACCTGTGAAGAAAATGGAAACAAAATTACCGCTGTGTCCTGCAAATGTTACTGCAATGAATTTAATTACTGCATCAATTCTTGAGTTAAGACCAAAAACATGTTTGTCAAGGTCATTTTGAGGTCACAGTGACCTTTGACTTTTTGAGTCAAAAGTGTCATCAATTCATTATCCAACCAATTGTGAAATATGGACATCAATTCTTGAGTCATGGCCAAAAATGAGTTACTTTTGACCACCAAAATCGAATCAGTTCATCCTTGAGCGCAAGTGGACATTTGTGCCAAATTTGAAGAAACTGCCTCGAGGCTTTCCTGAGATATCATATTCACAAGAATGGGAAGTTCAGACTTACAGACAACCCGAGCACATAATGCCTCCAGCCATCGCTACTGCTGGAGCGGAGGCATAACTACTGAAGTATTCCAACTTCGGTATTATACATGAAATCGACAATTATAGGGGAGCTCAGTACAGAGGACTCGCAATGGGAGCAAAGAGAAGAGTTCATATGAGAACAATTCTGCATCAATGTGCAAAATAAAAACAGTAACATTTCTTATATTTTTTATGGCGTTTTCAATGTGCAGCTTCAAACAGCAGCAGAGTTGTGATGAAAATGGAAGTGGGGCTTTTTCCACGGCAGCAGTGTGCCAGGCTGAGGCCCCCACTGTCACGGTACAGTATGTTTTTCTATTAGAGTTTGTTCACGGTTCAGTACGGTGAATGAGCGCTGATACAGCACCGTTGCTATACAGTACCAGCCCTCTTTCACGGGACGCTGGCAGGACTGTCTTCATGCATGTGACGCGTGAGAAGGATGAAGCCTCCATTTCTGAATGGATACTACTCCTTCTAGCCAAACTATATCTCGACCTAGCGTGAGTACAATGTACAGCAGAATGGTACTTGTGCACTGCTAAAAACATTTTAACGTTGTTTATTTCTGTTTAGCCACACTACTTATTTGCTCTGAGGCCTCTTAGACAAATCTATAACCACTTGTCATACATTAAAGGGCAACTTGGCAACTCGAGCCATTTCT